ATTTGGTTTTTGGAGCCACACTGGATTGTTTTACTAAGGCAGCAAGGAAACGGCTGGGCACTTACAAGCTATGGTGCGTTTAAAAACGTTTGGGGACACTTGCGTAGATCTGCACCTCAGTGAAAAGGCACTACATTGGTGAGTAAATGAATTTTATTTTACATTTCTTCTTGTCATTTTATTTTGTTAGTATTAAATTCATGGTAACGAAATAAAATGACAAACGTATCAAATAAATCTGCTCACCTGCAATTTATAATGGCGCATTGTAGTCACCTTCGTGCACGAAAGTTCGTTCAATCTCAGCTGTTCGTCAGTTATTGGTTAGTCAGTTATGTCAGTTATTTGCTGTTGTATCGCCGATTTTCAATCGTTAGTATTAAATTCATGGTAACGAAATAAAATGACAAACATGTATCAAATAAATCTGCTCACCTGCAATTTATAATGGCGCATTGTAGTCACCTTCGTGCACGAAAGTTCGTTCAATCTCAGCTGCTCAACATTTTCAGTTATCGCCGATTTTCAAAATGCAAATGATCTGTTTATTTTCAAAGAATAGTTTGTTTTGTTATTGTTTGGTTGGTGTCTTATATGAAACTGCGACATTGCGCAATTTATTGGACAGACTTGTTTAAGATCACACAGCGTAATTTGGGTGGCATTTTATTTCGTATTTTTAAATCATCTTTTTATTTTGGACAATATCTGTAAATTTAGTTTCCTGCTCTTAATTGGGAATACATACTTGATGGTTTTAAATGCTCCTGAAATTAAGTGCTGCTTGACCAGCCTATATTGTGTATGTATGTGACGTCACTGAAGGCCTAAGGTTGAAATGCACGGCCCGCCACTGCAAATTACAGTTTGTGAGAGCGAGACACCAGTGAGGTGCCCCTGACGCAGATCTGAAAAGGACTTTCTGACTACTTTTCTTTACATAAGGTAAAGCTTACTTAATAGTCGTACTGCATGCGCAAGTGTCACATAATATCACTGGAGTGCCATTTACGATGAATGCGATCACTAGCCCCCTCCATGAGCCGTCACCTTACCGTGGAGGAGGGGTATTGTGTGTTCCAATGATCATAGGAGCTAAGTTGTCTGGGGTGTTATGCCCCTGGCAGGGTCACCCATGGCAAACAGGTCCTAAGTGAGGGACCAGACAAAGCACAGCTCAAAGACCCCTTATGATGAGTCAAATATATGGACCCGGACGGGGCAAGGGAAATCGACCGGGGCCCCCCTCTGGAGCCAGGCCTGGAGGTGGGGCTTGCTAGTGAGCAGCTGGTGGCAGGGCCTACACCCATGGGGCCAGGCCGGCCGGGCTCAGCCCCAAGAGGCAAAGTGGGTCCCCCTTCCCATGGGCTCACCACTTATGAGAGGGGTCAAAGGGGTCGGGTGCAATTTAAAAAGGTGGGGTCCGATCCTTGGCTACATAAGCGAGCTCTAGGGACGTGGAATGTCACCTCTCTTGCAGGGAAGGAGCCCGAGCTGGTGTGCAAGGCAGAGAAGTTCCGACTGGATATAGTCAGACTTGCCTCCACACACAGCCTGTGCTCTGGTACCAGTATTCTCAAGAGGGGTTGGACTCTCTTCCACTCTGGAGTTGCCCATGGAGAGAGGTGTAGAGCAGGTGCGGGCATACTTATTGCCCCCTGGCTAAGTCCTTGTATATTGGGGTTCACACCGGTGGACAAGAGGATTGCCTCCCTCCGCCTTCCCTGAATGTTGTTTGAGCCTATGCACCAATCAGCAGTTCAGCTTACCCACCCTTTTTGGAATCTCGTGTTGTGTTTTGTTATGAGACTTCTGCGCTCATCACGGATTGTCCACAACAAACACCATGTTCAAACATAAAGGTGTCTATATGTGTACTTGGCTATCAGGACGCCCTTGGCCACAGTTTGATGATTGACTTTATGGTCGTATCATCGGATTTGCAGCCGCATGTTTTGGACACTCGGGTGAGGAGAGGGGCGAAGCTGTCAACTGATCACCACCTGGTGGTGAGTTGGCCCCGCTGGTGGGGGAAGATGCCGGTCCGACCTGGCAGATCCAAACGTATTGTGAGGGTTTGTTGGGAGATCTGGCGGAATCTCCTTGTCAGAAGGAGTTTCAACTCTCACCTCTGGCAGAGCTTTTCCTACGTCCCGGGGGAGGCGGGGGACATTGAGCCTCTATTGTTGAGGCGGCCATTTGGAATTGTGGCCATAAGGTGGTCGGTGCCTGTCATGGCGGCAACCCCCCAAACTCGCTGGTGGATAGCAGCAGTAAGGGATGCTGGCAAGCTGAAGCAGGAGCTTATTGGACCTTTATGGCCTGTGGAACTCCAGAGGCAGCTAATAGGTATCTACTGGCGGAACACAGCTTCAACGGTCGCCGAGGAAAAACTCGGGCATGGGAAGAGTTCGGTGAGGCCATGGAAGCCGACTCTCGGACAGCTTTGAGGAAATTCTGGTCCATTATCCGTCGTCTCAGGAGGGGGAAGCAGTGCACCATTAACACTGTGTACAGTGGGGATGGGGCGCTGCTGAACTTTACTCATCACGTTGTGAGTCAGTGGGCAGAATACTTCGAAGACCTCCTCAACTTCACCAGCACGCCTTCCTTAGAGGAAGCAGAGTTTGAGTACTCTGAGGTGGGCCCTCCTTTCTCTGGGGTCTAAGTCACCAAGGTGGTGAAAAAGCTCCTCGTGGCGGAGCCCCAGGGGTGGATGAGATCCGGCCAGAGTTCCTCAACACTCTGGATGTGGATGGTATGGGGCTGTCCTGGTTGACACTCCTCTGCAACATCGCATGGTCATCGGGGAGGGTGCCTCTGGATTGGAAGACCGGGGTGGTGGTCCCTCTTTTTAAAAAGGGATCACACTCCTCAGCCTCCCTGGTAAGGTATATTCGGGAGCGCTGGAGAGGAGGGTCCATCAGGAAGTTGAGCCTCAATTCAGGAGGAGCAGTGTGGTTTGCGTCCTGGCCGTGGAACAGTGGACCAGCTCTACACCCTTAGCAGGGTCCTCCAGGGTTCGTGGGAGCTCGCCCAACCATTCTACATGTGCTTTGTGGACTTGGAGAAGGTGTTCGACCATGTCTCTCGTGAGTTCTGAGGGGGGTCTTTCGGGAGTATAAGGTACTCAACCCTCTGATATGGGCTATTCGGTCCCTATACCATCGATGTCAGAGTTTGGTTCGCACTACCGGCAGTAAGTTGGAATCGTTTCCACTGATGGTTGGACCCACCAAAGCTACCCTTTGTTGCCAATTCTGTTCATAACCTTTATGGACAGAATTTCTAGGCACAGCTGAGGTGTTGAGGGAGTCCTGTTTGCTGCTTTTTGGAAATGATGTGGTGCTGTTGGCTTCTTCAAGCACGGCTCTCCAATTCTCACTGGAGCAGTTCGCAGCTGAGTGTGAAGCGGTTGGGATGAGAATCGGCACCTCCAAATCTTAAACAATGGTCTGAAGTCGGAAAAGGGTGGCGTACAATCCCCGGGTTGGAGGCGAGATCTAGCCCCAAGTGGAGGAGTTTAATTATCTTGTGATGTTGATCACGAGTGAGGGCAGGAGGAAGTGGGAGATCGACAGGCGGATCGGTGCAGCATCTGCTGTGATGTGGACTTTGTATCGGTCAGTCATGGTGAAGAAGGAGCTGAGCCAAAAGGCGAAGCTCTCAATTTACCGGTCAATCTATGTTCCAACCCCAATCTATGGTCATAAACTATGGGTCATGAGCGAAAGAACAAGATGCAGGATACAATCGGCTGAAATGAATTTTCTCCGCAGGGTGTCCAGGCTCTCCCTGAGTGAGAAGGTGATAAGCTCAGTCATCCGGGAGGGGCTCAGAGTTGAGCTGCTTCTCCTCCACGTCTAGAGGAAGCAGATGAGGCAGCTCGGGCATCTGATTAGGATGCCTCCTGGATGCCTCCCTGGTGAGGGGTTCCGGGCATGTCCCACTGGCAGGAGGCCCCTGGGATGACCCAGGGCACGCTGGAGAGAGTATGTTTCCCAGTTGGCGGGGAACGGGGAATTTGATTTACACAGGGTAGAAACATTTTACGTTATTTCAAAGTGGCGGGGGGGCGGGGGGAAGCATGGTCAGTTGACAAATATAGAAGCAGACCACCATGGGACCCTAATTAGCATTTATGCTTCAAGACTTGACGCTGACCAGGAAGTGAAAGAAAACTATCAGCGATTCCAAAATTGACCATGAGTATCATTCTTGGTGACGTCAATGCTGGAAAAAAAAATCTCAAATGGCACTTTCCTCCTTAAGCATGCCAAACATGAGCTTGTCATCATGAATACCATCTTTCAGCAGAAAAAAAATATTTCAAAGTCTGCCAGCAACATCTTCAATCAAAACAAAAGCACCTTTTGCTTTGTGATCAGAAAGATATCCTTTTAGATGAATACCATCAAACACTTACCAAACTCTATGATACAAAAGAATGCAAGAAACAAATTGTATCAGTCCATCTTGCATCATGCATTAACTTGAGAGTACCCTTAACTCATCACCCAAACACAGGGATGAACTCAAAACTGCCATCATCAATTTGGTCACCCAAAGACGAAATATCAGGATTTCTTTGATGGAAATGATCAAGCACTGCAACAACTTATTGTTGAAAAGTACAAGGCCTTTCGTGACCTTCAGAAAGATCCTGAAAGATATTGAGGACAAAGAGGCTCTGTTACCAAGAATGCAGAATAGCATTTTAAATCAAGAAGCAGAAACTACAAGCATATTTTTAGAGTTGCATGTGGGATGGATTCTCTTGAAACAGACTATATACACCATGAATTGACCACCAATCAACTGGCATACACTGACAGAACATTCATCCTCAAATCCACAGCAAGAGAGGTTTAAGAGTCTTTGTGCATTTAACCTACCAAGCATGTGTTTGGAATGTGAGAGGAAGGCAGAGTGCCGGAGAAAAACCTAGAGAAACTATGCAAACCCCACACAAAAGGGTCTGAGACCTGATTTGAACTCCTGAACTTCTCGACTATGAGGCAGACATGCTAACCACTACACTTGCTCTTTCTGAATCACTTTACAAAATACAAATTGAAAGCATATCTCGAGTCAGTGATACACCATGCACATTGCTTATGACATAAATGATTGTATTAATAGCAGCTTTGGCTTTTCTGGATAAATGAAGCAGAATCTTGAATTTCACATGGGAGAAAAAAAATGCTGCTTAATGTATGGACGCGATTTATTTCTGCAGATTAGATAACTAACATAGAACTGGTATTTTTCAAACACTGAAATTTGGTCCTCTGAAATCAGCCTGTGAGTAGGTGGTGTGTTTTCTGGGATGAATGCCAATCCCCTGTGACTCTAAAAAATGATAAATAAGTGCAGAAATAGAAGAATGTGTGTGTGGTACAGTTTTGCTTTTTTACAGTTTGGCTGACAAAGAGGTAATATGATTAATGCCAATGATGTTGTCTGTGCCTACTCAGTATATACAGCATCGAGATGGATCTCTAAAAGAACTAAAACACGACCATCAATTCAGATATCCGTACAGCTTGGTGACTCACTCACACTGCACACATCTTGCCAAGCACTCTCCATGCTGGCTTCAAAAGGGAGTGTGATTAGTTATCTGCAGAATCGGCAGTGTACTTAACTGAAGAAGGATTACATTTTGAAATAAACATCTATGATAAACTAAATATCCATTATTTTTCTGTATCGCTTACGCTCACTAGGGGCCCAGCTTAATTTGGACGAGGTGTGTGGTACTGGTCTAAATGAAGAATTGTTTTCCTTAAGGAATTTGCAATTAGTTGTGTGCTCACCATTGCGATCACAGCAGCTCCTGCTCCAGCCAATGCACACACAAACAGATGGAAGGTCAAGTCCAGCTGCAAAAGTCACAATAAGACTTAAAATTGTTCATGAATACTCTTTGTATTCTTGTTTTGCTTCACTTTTCATTTAGGTCAGATCTAACCCCACAGCAGTTCTTACCTCATTAGATTCACACATCTTGAAGAACTTCTCAGATCCTGTGCAAACCTTCCTCTCCTCAGAGATGGTCACAGCACCTGATGAACAGAAACCTGGCTAAATGATTTTGTTTGACTTCCGCTTTATTTTAAATTCAAAACAATGTGAGACCGTTGCCATAAAAAAAAAGGAAAACAAAAAAAAAGAAAACAAATTGCAGGTGCGGGGAGGGGTTTGTGACTCCCAATGATCCCAGTAGCTAAACTGTCTGCTGCTTAATGCCCCTGGCATGCCCCATGTCAAACAGTTCCTATTTAGGGGACCAGAGAGAGCATGGCTCACAAATCTCTTATGGTGAAGATAAATATTGAATTCAGTTTTCCCTTGCCCAGACACAAGGCACCGAGGCCCCCCTTTATAGCCAGGCCTGCAGGTGGCGCTTTCTGGGAATCACCTTGTGGTCAGGCCTGCGCCCATTGGGCTCAGTCTCGCACGGCCCAAAAAGGCATCGTGGGTCCCCATTCACATGGGCTCACCAACTGTTGGTGGGACCAAAGGGGTCAGGTGCCCTGTGAGTTTAGTGCCGGCCAAAGGCGGGGAACTTGGCGGTTCAAATCCCCAACGACAGAAGCCAGTTCTAGGGATAACCTTTCTGGCAGGGAAGGAGCCCGAGCTGGTGTACGAGGCAGAGCAATTCCAACTAAACATAGTCGGACTCTCCTTCACACATTGCGGCTCTTTTATCAGTCCTCTCAAAAGGGGTTGGACTCTTTCTCATTCTTGAGTTGGCCACTGAGAGAGGCACAGAGCAGATGTGGGCATGCACCCTGGCTTGGCACCTGTATATTGGAGTTCACCCCAGTGGACGAGAGAGCAACCTCCCTCCACTTTCGTGTGTGTGTGTGTGTGTGTGTGGGGGGGGGATGGGTCATGACTGTTTGTGCCTATCCACCAAACAGCAGCTCAGAGTAACCAAGCTTTTTGGAGTCCTTGAAGGGTGTGCTGGAGAGCGTTCCCCCTGGGGAATCCCTCGTTATGCTGGGGGAATTAATTGCTCACGTGGGTGATGACAGTGAAACCTGGAAGGGGGTGTTTGAGAGGAAAGCAACCAACACTAGGCCCCCCAATAATCAGAACCCAATTGTTGTTCTGTTACTGGATTTATGTGCCGATCATGGATGGTCCATCAGGAACACCATGTGCGAACATAAGGAGGTCCATATGTGGACTTGGAATCAGGACACCCTAGCCATAGTTCGATGATCGACTTTGGAGTACTGTCATCAGATTTATGGCCACATATTTTGGACACTGCAGTGAACCGATCACTACCTGGTGCCGCATTAGCTTCAATGGTGAGTGAAGATGTTGGACCGACTGGCAGACCCAAACATATTGTGAGGGTTTGCTAGGAACATCTGGCAGAAACCCCTGCCAGCAAGAGTTTTAAGTTCCACCTCAGGTTGGCGACATTGAGTCCGAGTTGGCCATATTTCATGCCTCTGTTGTTGAGGCAGCCCATCGGAGCTGTGGCCGTAAGGTAGTCTGTCGTGGCGGCAATCCCTGAACCCGCTGGTGGACACCGATGGCAAGGCATACTGTCAAGCAGAGGAAGGAGTCCTATGTGACCTTTTAGTCCTGTGGGACTCCAGAGGCAGCTGACGGGTATGGGCTGGCCAAGAGGAATGTAGCTTTGGCTTTGGGTCGCTGAGGTACAGGTTGTTATTTTTTAATGTTCCACCCCTATAAGTAAAGGCTTTTTGCATTCAGAGTCTTCAACAAGTGCCCACATGTGGAATTTTTTTAAAACCTTTTTTTGACACAAACATGTTGAATTCTCATTATGTATTCTAACTCATGTGATGTCACAGATATGTGGTTTCAATTTAAGAGGTACTTTTTTCAAAACAACTTGGTTGAATTCCAATTTGTATAACCCTTTCAAATTTTGGAGGTTCGATTTGATTATTGTTAGGGACGCATGTTTTATAGCAAGGGAGCTGGGGCCACATGTGACCCTTATAGGGATTTTTTAGTTGAGGTGGAAATGTCTTTCAAGACATGAGCGTTTTTCATTGATTCAAGCACCAGCAATAGCTCATTTCACCTACCAAACTGGCGGAGGTCCAGACAGAGGTTGGCTCCCTCAACCACGCTGGTGTTTTTACACATGGACCAAACATTGAAGTACATGAAGACCGGCAGGCTGGTGAAAGCTGTCACACCCAGCCACACCAGGAAAAACAGGTAGGCCAGGAACATCAACTGAACAGACATAAGGTAATCAGTAACACAAAACCAGAATGATAAATTCTGTTTTTCTCATCTTTAAGAGAGACAATAGTCATTATGTCCACATTTTAAGCTATAATCCTCATTTTTTTTCCAAACAGCAATGCAGGAGTAAAATGATCCACCGGAAAAAAGGAAAAAACTAAGTAATTTAAGTAAAATTAAACACCTCCTGCTGCAGCGTCATTAAGTAAAAGTTATTGTCCTTTGTTTTAATTTTCAAACCTGAATTGTCATGTTTCGCCGACACAGCAAAACATTTCCTATCATGCCTCCCATTCTAGTTACTATTTTATGTCAAATTCCAATTAAGCATTTGCGTTTTCGAGATCAATTCATATTTTTGTTTTGCTAGGTTCTTGCATTCAGAATAGGATGTGGTGCCAGTTGACTAGCATTTCGTTAACCACTCATTTCTGAAGGAGCATGAATTGAAACGCCTTACAATTAATGCGATGTCCTTTTATTTCTCTTCAGCCAAATCTAAGCTTTCTTACAAATGCAGTCAGGCAGCGTCCGCATGCAGTAATCTTGAACTCTCCATACAGATCCCTTATTGCTCCAGTGGTGAAAAACGCCTCCACCAGCAACAACACTCCAAAGACAAAGAATCCAGCTGCAAGGCCATAGATGATGTACTTCAGGATGTCAATGCTGCAGAGAAAATAAACATTACTTTTCCATTCTAAATCTCTGTATTATGGTATTCATAATTTCATCAAATCATTACATAATTATGGTGGTGGATTTTGTTTTTAAAGGAGAGAGTACGCCATTTCAGATATACAAGTGGAAATAACCCCAAAAGGTGTTTATGTGTGTTTCTGATAAAAGATGGAAATGTTGTGTGATATCATATTTTTGGGGGGGTATCATGGAGGGTTTTACTTTTCCATGTCATAAAAATATGAATGACACAGACAAAGCAAAGTTGGAGCATATCTGAAATGAATGGTATCATCATCAGTCAACTACAGATTAATACTGATCTAATCAGCTTTTGTATTGAGCAAAAATATTGTTTTCAGCTTCTTGCAGTGTTACACTAAAAGCATTGCATTACAGCTCTGCATGCTAATTGTGATCTGAGAACACTTATTTAGTAGTAGATCATGTAGGACGTCTTACTAAATTGAATTTATTTAATAGAAATTGTGATCTTAAATAAAATGCAATGTTTATATTTTCATTCAATGCTTTTTTTCTTCCTTCTTAATTTTTTTTTTTTTTTTTGCATTGGCAATTCCAGAATTGGTGCTTTTGAGGTGAATACAGTATATTAAAACTCTGCAATCCTCCATTCAACTATTACAGAATAGTTACTGTACTTTTGAATCAGATGGTCAACCACAGTGTCGTATGAATGACTATTAGCAGCACATAACATGTTTTATAGTATTTAATTATATTATCACATTAATATGTTTCGTTGCCTGCTCATGTCCAATTTCATGTGATTTAGTAGCCTTCATGAAAATATTTAACAAAAGGTTAAAATCATATGATTAATGGACGCCCAGGAAAATAGTCTTGGTACATTGTTGAAACAAAACATAATTACATTGTTATTCATTTAAATGTAAACTAAAGTTATTTAATATCAATTTTGACCACTTAACCAAATATGGCTTGGGATACTGTAAATACTCACATGGTAAACACATCCAGAGTTTCTCCAGATCCTCGGATGACCTCAAAGTAATTCTGGAGGATAGTGACGGTCCCACTCAGAGCTTCATGGCCACATCCACAGAACAAGGCCACACCCATGTAGAGGAGGATGGTGGCGATGAGGGATGCCCAGGGCAGACTACCCACACATCGCTCACAACACTCCTTGCAACCTGAATGTACAGAAAAAACACGACTCTGTAATGGAATGCCTTTACATTGTCATGCCAACAATAGAATTGATAGAACAAGAATGACCATTATCGACCAAATATGAAACTGACATAAAATAAAAAATGCGATTTTTTTTTTTTTTTGGAAGAAAATGACAATTGGTATGTGTGTACAGTATGCGAGGTCAATGAGATGGAAGAGCAAAAGAATAGAGACTCAAGGATCTAAGGAACTTTGCAGATAAAATGGAGTGCCATATACAGTAGGAGTGCCATATACAATAAGCTTGAAGGTTTCCTTAACCCCTCGATGCCCTTTGTCGCCAATTCGCATCAAACCCCTTCCGCTTCAAATGCAGGCAAAAATAACGGATGTATTCCCTGACTTCCGGTCGATTGACTTTAAATGCTTCACTAGGAACCTTTTGCAAGCCTTAGTTTTTCTAGTTTCCAGTCGTAAGAGACACAGCCTTTTCCAGATTGTGAACTGTGACTCGTGCGCCGCCGCCAGTTGCAGACGACAAGCTGAGCTCATCTGTCCTATTTGAAGTGAGCTTCTACATTTCCATTAAAATGGCCCTTCTGGCAATTATGCATGTTCCTCCTCTCATGAATGTTGTTTAATGCCTAGACACTGTACGTTCAGGTCCACATCATTTTGTCAATTCTGTTCTATAAGAAGTCTTAGCTTCAGAATCAACCAGAATTTTTTGGCGAATGGATCTATCTGTACCACTGGATACAATGGGCCCTATTTTTGTTCCCAGCGTGGGTCTCGCCGCTAGATTCTAGCGCAAACTACAATCCAACTGTACACATGGGAGGAGCTAGATTTTGCACAGGTAGCATAACGGAGTGTCGTGCGCCATTGTGGAATGAAACACGACTCTTGCTAAATGAATTGATTTTCTACAATGATTCACAGGGTTTGTCACACGGTGGTGTGAATGAAATCTAGTGACATCCGTCACACATGTCCACGAAGTACTGAATATGTCTGCCTGCGCCTCAATCATATACACTAAAATCACATTCCACTACCTGCACTGCGCAATAGATATCCTTTAGCTAGTCTACAATTTAGTTTACGTCAGCGTAGACTACTTTCTGTGACCAAGTCATCAGATGAGTCGGGGGTGAGGCAACACAGAACGCAGAGAGAGGCACAACATTGCCTGAAACACACTTAACTAGACTTGAGCTCGCATGAAAACAAAGTTATGCCTGTTTTTATGCAGAGCTATTGTGCGCCTGTCTACCAGTAAATTGTAGCCCAGTCAGTAATCCACATCGAACCAGTTAAGCCCCCTCCAGCTTTGTGTTTTCAATTTTAAATTTTTTTTTTTTACTACTCATTTAATAAAGCATCTGGCAACCAGATCAAGGTTTACCTCGCTTGCTGCTCGAAGACAGCTGGGATAGGCTCCAGCGGTTCGAATAGTGGTTAGATTTTTCATCCATCCACTATTCGAAACCATTTTAAACCGAAGTTTAAAAACATTAGGAAGTTCACAGTTAGCCATTCTGGTCCAATCCTATTTCTGTTTCCATGTCTGTGCTGCACATGTACCAATATGTGTATTTGGGAAGGGAGAGATGGGGTAGGGGAGTCTTTCATTTACTTGCCAGTTATGCTTAAGATTTTTTAACATTGCCATTATTATTATTTTTTATTATTATATATTCTTTGGCCAAATTCAGTGACAACTCATTTTATATCGAACATGCTCGTGCTGTGCGTCATGCCTTTACAGAAGAGAAAACAACTTCTTAAAGCAGGTGTATCAAACATAGGGCGCGCGGGCCGGAACCGGCCCCCAAGGAGGTTTGATCAGGCCCGCAGGATAATTTAAAAGTGAAAAAATGAATAAAAGACACGGAATTTTTAAGAAGGTGCAATTCATGGAGTATCCGCGAGGGGACACACTGTTTTGGTCAGAGTAGAAGACAACATTGTTTTGATCAGAGAAGAAGACAACAGCAGCCTCAGTCTGTCACTGAGACAGACCCAACACAGCAGACGGTATCAAGGACATGTGAATACTTTATTCTTTACACATTCAATAGCACTCTCCTTAGTTTGGAAGGTGAAGGCAGGGATTACATTTAGATTTTATATGCCCGTGTAAATGGCTTAAAAATTCCTTTCTTTACAAATCCATTTAATCTTAAAATGCATTGCTACATTTTTCAATACCAATTACTTGTTAAAGTTTTGTGCCTTTGTACAATCAGTGGCAATGCATATATGTTTATGATAAAAGTAAATTGCACATTTGTCTAAGGAAATCTTAAGGTGCTTCATGAAATGTTTTGTAAAATACATGTTCATTAAATTTCAACATTTTCCAAATGTTCTTGTGCTTCTTTAGACGAAAACAAAGGAAAAACATTGTTTTGGTTATTTATAGCAGAGTATGGTATAATTTTAATCATCCGGCCCACTTTACATCTACCGAGGCCGTATGTGGCCCACAATGTAAAATGAGTTTGACACCCCTGTCTTAAAGTAAGTGAAGTTTTCTCAGCCTCCCCACAAATCGGTCAAACAATCGCTGAGGGCAAGAAGAGAAAAAATACTGGTGCTGGGTCTGAATGATTATGACATGATTTTTTTTAATCAAAAATATTATTATTACCATAATTTTCACAAATATAATCACACTATTTAACTCATAGTGATGGTCACGAAACACTGATCGTATTCTTTTTATGTGTGATCAGGGATTTATTCATTTGGTCTCTTTTGAGAAATATGAGGAGTTGATAAATATGTAAGTCACAATGTATCAGTAAAATCTTCAGCTGATGGATACAGAAAGCCAGGATGATTGGATCCATCATCGCTATTTTATTTTATACCAGCAAAATGTTGATGAGTGAATAGAAATGAAAGAAATGACAAATATTTGTCATCACTTGCTCATTTTTCCTTTTCATCCTGCAGGTTTTGGAAATTCATTAACCAAGTGGAATTGGATGTGGCCAGGACAGCTGTCTTGTCAACTGTGAGCCTGAGCGTGAAGGAGGCAGCGGGTATCTACTATATCCGCCTGTCAGTGATATGCGGTGGTTTGTCCTGAACAGTGTTTCTTGTGATATATAGCAAAATTTATTAAAGATAATAGTGAGCCAGGATTGGGGTCACTGAGTTTATTTGAGTCTCAACCACAGCTTCTGAATTTATGGCCTCTAAAATACATTTGGATAGTTTTAAAGCTGCAATTGCTCCATGTGGAGTCTTCTGCTGTGATATCCTGTATTTAGAACATGTGTCTTTGAAATAGTCACAGCTGTTTTCTTTCAAATTATTCTGTAATATGTTTTTCGATGTTGTAAATTACAGTTTCTATTTTGCACAACATTGGAGTATTTTTGGATTTTGACTAATTGACTTGACAGATGTTTGACAGTCTACTGTGGTGCTGGTGAATTACTCATTCCACCCCAGCTCCACCCATGCTTTTGACCATTCAGTAATGATATAAATCTGAAGACCTATGCAGGTTATTTATCTGTGTGCGTGTGTTTGTGCGTACAAACACACGCACACAGATAAATAACCTGCATGCTTCCATGCAAAGACAAAAAGGTATTGAAAACAATAGAATCATCTCCCGAGTTCTTAGAAAAGAGCTTGTGTGTCTTCATTTGTGTGAGTCATTCTACTGCTCATGTTTAATTGAGCGGCCATGTTGCCATGCCAGCAGGGGTGTGGCAGGAGCCTGCTGACCCACTTTGCCTGTAGCGTCGTTATGGCAACAGTGCAGCTCAGCAAGCATCAAAGCCATACTAATACACATTTTCCTGCGCAGCCTCAGAGGCACACATCATGTCAGTGTGCTCAGTGGTTATTTTGAAGAGATTTATAGCCATTGTTTCATGTCAAAATAAGAGCCATAAGGGTGAAAATGTTGCACATAAACAATTTGCAGTGAATGGCAGAATATAAGAAAATGTTACAATTGCGCTTTTTCATCTGTATAAAAGCCATTCAGTCATTATTTGACATTGACTATTTGTCTCATTATTGAGGCAGTTCTGAGGCAGATGGAGATGTGAGACACTGTGTTATAAGAGTGTGTGGAGAAGGAATGATTTTTCTTTTCACATTTTTTCATTTGTGTGGTCTAAATATTCAATATACAGTATATCATTCATTGTTCTATGAATGCATATTAACGCAGTTGTATCAGACACAGATTATGTATACAGGTGTTTGTCATTGTGCGTTTTATACTAGCCATGTTATAATCCTTCTCATATTTCCATATTTGTGTTTGATAAGCAGGCAAGACCCAGTGACCTGGTAAAAACTGGGACACGCCAAGCACCAACGGCTGTATATGCTCCATAAACATGAGGGTGTTTCCTTGTTTGTGAGGAAGTTCAGCATTGATAGTACAGTCGTAGTTTTTTTTTTTTTTTTTTTTTTCAATTTGTGGTGACCACACGCCAGTCACTTATACAAGATAAGACTTACGCCAGGCACTACTTTGGACCTCTTTTCGCCAACTGTCACAAATCCACAATGCTTTTTGAACAGAAAATCTGAGGGTGCAGCTGCATGATATGGGGCTTGTTGAAGACAATGCAGATGGGGGACGTGTGCGGGCAACTTTGCAACATACAAATGCATACCTGTCAACCTTTCGGAGCGCCAACCCATATAAACTACCAAAAAAATCCTTATAAAGAGCAAAAAATCCTTACAACAGACCAAAGCATTTTATATGTCAAAATAACGGCAGAAAAAAAACCCATGAAATTTTTAATGATATTTATTGTAGATCTCCATAATACAATGGCAGGTGAATGTCTAATCATCATTCTACTTAGTGGCATTACTGTGTTCAGAGTTGTATTCCTGCGTTACTTTTTTCACCTTGTAGATTAGAACTTGCTTGTACACTACTGAAGTATGGAATGAATACTCTGCTGTTTTCAACAAGGAACCACGTGATTTACTGGAACGTTACTGGAAATGAAAGCATTCGAGT